AATGATGAATGTCATTATATTGTATACCTAAAATGTACCAATAAAATTAATTTAAAAAATAATCCTGAGTCTTAGTTTTTCTACTTATAAAATGGCCTATTACCAGTGGTGAAACTATATGCTGAAATCCAACTTCCTCATGACACAATCAAGTTTGCTTTCTGATTGAAGCAGAACTTGTGTCTTCTCAGTCACGAGGCAGTGTCTGGAGTCCAGAGCCCGTGCTTTGCCTCTTTCTCCATTTGGTTTCACGTTTCCATGGGGCAGCAGTCCATCACAGGAGCATCTTAGCTGCCCTTCGTCCCCTGCCCAGTTTTCCCTGCGTGGAGAGGCAACTATCTGACAGGTTGGGGAGAAGGAACCAGGTATTCTTATCTTAGTGCCTGTTATGGCTTGTGCGTGGTTTGTCCTTCTCAAGACTCTTGTTGAAAAAAAAAATTTTTTTTGGTAGGAAGGGGAATTAAATTCATGGTCTTTGCACTGAGCTACAACCCCATCCCCTTATTTATTTATTTATTTTTGGTACTGGGGGTCGAACTTGGGACTTTGCGGTTGTGAGGTAGGTGGCGGCACCACTGAGCTAAATCCCCAGCCTTTTGATTTTTTATTATAAGACAGGGTCTCACTAAGTCACTAAATTGACCAGGCTGGGCTCAAACTTATGATCCTTCTGCCTCAGCCTCCCAAAGTGCTGGGATTACAGTATGTGCCATCCTACTCATTTTCTGTTGAAATTTACTTGGCAATGTAGTGGTATTGAGAAGTGTAGGTGTCTTTAAGACAGGTCTGGGGGTAGGGGCGCTGCCTTCCTGAAGTGATTCATATAGTTCATGTGAGAGTGGGTTAGTTACTATGAGAACAGGCTATGATAAAGCATCTGCCTGCTTTGTCCACTCCTCTCTTCCACTTTCTGCCACAAGCTGTACCACCACGAGTCTCTTACCAGATGCTTAGCAGAAGCTGGGACTGTGCTTTTGGACTTCTAGAACCATGAGCCTAAATAAAACCACTTCCTTTATAAGTTACCCAGTCTTGGGAATTCTGTTATAGCAACAGAACATGGAAGACAGTGCCTTCCTTCCTTCTTTTAGGCAACATACTTTTTCTTCCTCTCCTCCACTCCTTCAGTTGGATGGTGCAGTCTCTTCTCTTGACTTATGATTGTCAGGATTGTTTCTGATTGGGTGGATAAGTCTACCATATTCTAGGATGAGAAATTACAAGCTCCTTAGATACTCAAAGCCAACTTCTTCATAATCAACTTTATTGGAAATAAAATGTTTCAGCTCCACCTACTTGTGTGTATGCCTCATTTTGTGCTGAGTTCAATCAGGAAAAAGTGGTATGTTATTTATTAGGCTTTCCTGAAACCTCAACAATCTCTGTAGAGACACATTTGAGATGCTTGTAATCAAATTAGAGAACTGGACCTCCCAACAAATAGAAATAACACATAATTCATTTTAAGTCTAACTTCACATAGAGACAACACATAATTCATATTATAAGTCTAGAATGAAGTGATGGGATTTTTTTAAAAGTTGTGTTCTTGCAATCTGTAGCTAAAATATTTACATGGGGCCCTGGTGATACACAAGTGGTGGTTTACAGAGCACAGCCTGTTCAAACCAAACAGTTATTGTGTTTTTGATTTTGGAAACTCGTCAAGGAATCAGTGTTTACTTAGATAACTTGGCCCCCAAGCGGCTCTTGTGTAGGCTGGATCCAATCCAAGGAGAAGCCATGACTTGGGAACATTCCTCCTTCTCCCAGAACCATTGAAACACAGACCTCCCAGTTCTCCAGGCCCTTCTGGAAGGCATCTGGTTCAGCCGCTGGTCATCTGTCCAGTGATCAGCCTGGACTGTGTAGACCCAGTCCTATTTTAGAACTGGCCCCTTGGCACCCAACCTGGTGAGTAATCCTGTGTGTGAAAGTCTCATTCATTTAACTCCCAAAGAGAGAGTGCAGGCTTCCATGGGGAAGCGTTTGATGTTTAATACGTGGATGACTTGAATGAGACTGGAGCATTATGCAGGAGGTAAGCCAGCTGTGGGAAACAGGCCACAGAGAATCTAGAAGGCCAAGTCTGAGTGTCCAGGAAACCACAGCTGCTATTTCTACCCTAAGCAAGAATTAGGTCCAGCATTTTTGAACAACAGTGAAGATACAAGTGCAAATATCTATACTAATACACATAAAAGGCACATGCCATGATATACAGGCTCTCGGGAAAAGCTAGTAATAATTGTAATTATTGATCTCCTTAAGCTAATTTGGAAAATGAGTAAGATCAGCATGTGAGTAGCCCTAATAAGAACAGTTGCTTCCACTACCTGATCTTTCTTCCTATTTGGAAAATGCATTTTCTTGGGCTTAAGTGGTTCTATTGGGACTATCAGTGACTGTTCCTACCAGTACACTGATGGACAATTACCTAAGTCTGACCAAATATGGCAGCCAATCATTCCATGCAACATGACTGGTTCCAGGGGTAGACTTGTTACTTAAGCAGAGCCTATTAGAATCCTATGAGATTTGGAATTTCCCAGAAGGCTTGTCAATGCAGTAGAAAGAGCATGAGCTTTGGTGTCTGAAGGTATGGACTCCAGCTTATGAAATTGGGTAAGTTCCATTACTTCTTTGAACTTCAATGTCTTTATCTTGGCATATAATGCAGTAAAACATACATTGCAGAACTGTGAGAATTAACTGAGATAAAAATATAAGCCAGTGCTCAGCATATAGGAAATCTCAGTAAGTGGCTTACTGATAAAAAGCATAATAAAAAGCAATACTCTGATTAACCTTCCTCCTCCTTCCACCCTCCCTGATCAATCTTCATTCTGCAAAGCACTTTTTAAATAACCATGATTAGGATTGGGCATGTAGGTCAGTGGTAGATGGGTACAGCACTTACCTAGTATGCATGAAGCTTGGGTTCAATGCCCAGCACTGAAGAGGGGGGAGGGGAGCTATAATGGAAAACCTACCCACATTTTTAGCAGGGAGGAGACATCCTTAATTTTCCCTGACCCATGAACTTTCCAGAATAGACATAGGGTAGATAGATAGGATACATCTAGAGTAAAATCTCAGGATGGAAAAACCATTGTCTGTTCAATCCATTGATACCAAGTGGTTGGGAAATCTTTTGTCTAGCTAAAGTTCAAGATATTGTATTGTCTTCGGCTTAGATGCTAGATCAGTGCAGCCCGGTAGAGCTTGCTGCTATGATAGAAATATTTATATTGGTGCTGTCCATGATGATAGTTGCTAGGTTAATGCGGCTATCAAGTGCTTGGGGTATGACCAGTGAGACTAACAGAGGAACTGAATTGTTTATTTATCTAAATTAATTTATTTTACTGGTGCACAGAGGGCAGTGGCTTCCATGGTGGAGAGAGCAGCTCCGGATGGGAGCGTGGCATCAGCAGACAGACATGGAAGTGGGGGACAGTAATTCCCACTGCCTGCTTAAGCAGAAAGGGCTATGATTTGAGAGCAGATGGGTCTCTAGGGTTTGGAGCAGGTGCTCAAGGAAATTCATCTAACTAGTGAGCAATTTAAAGACCATGCCTGCTGGTTTATGTACTCTGTGTGCAAAGCTACAGGATTTCTGAGAAGACTGTCTTTAAAAAAACTTTTTAATCTGTAAATTACTAAAGTAATTTAACTGCATCACAGCAAGATTAGTAACTGGAGGAGGAAAAATCCCTCCAAATCCCACCACACAGTCATCATCATATTTGATGTTTATACTTAATGTGCATATTTATAAATTTAATCTCCATAGGGGTACATTCTATAACCTACATTTTTCATTTATCATAAGTATTCATTGTATTCTTTGTATTATTTCCCATAACTGTAAAATAGTGTGACTACACTCATTATAATACATATAAATATCCTCCTATTTTTGTCTTTTGCTTGGTGCTGAGATAGAACCCAGAGCTTTGAGCATGCTAAGCACGTGATCTACCACTGAGCTAGACCCACAGGTCCCTATTTTTGTGTTTTTAGGCTGTTTCCATTTTTCTTCAGAGTTATGCTGAGATTGGTGTCCCACAACTCCCCGTACATGTATTTTTGTGTGGCAGAAGAACCTTGAGGTAGAGTGCTTGCTTTTCTCTTTTCTTCCTTCCTTTCTTCTTTCCTCCTCCTGCTTCTTCTTCCTGTCTTGTTCTTCCTTTTTCTCTTACTTTCCCCTCCTCCTCCTACCTGCTCCCCCCGCTACACACACACACCATTCTTCATTTCCTTCTCCTCATTCTTCTTCTGTGGTGTAGGGGATGGAACCCAGGGCCTTGTGCATGTTAAAGAAGTGCTCTAGACCACAGCAGGAGCTCTGAGGGCAGATAGACCTGAGTTTAAATCCCAGGCCTTCACCATTTAGCAATTACTTAAATGACTTACACCAAGATTATTCATTTCCTGAGCCTAGACTTTTCCATTGATAAGATGGGAATAATAATATCTGCTTTTCCAGTTGTTGTCAGGGCTGGGGATTGTAAATTGCCTCCTATACTGCCTTTACCAGGGAGAAACTTAAAACTACAATTAACACTATTATGGTTTTGAATATATATTTTTTAAGAAATTTAATTATTGGTAGTCTTTGTAGCTCTGAAGACTTCTCAATTCTGAGAAATTTTCTGATTTATGTTAATGATCTTATGGTTCAGCCCATCTGGTTGGACCAGAATCCCTGTGAATCTGAACTCTGGCAGGCTGAGGTCCCTGTGGCATTACAGAAGTGGAGGCTGTGGGGAAACTTGGTGGTGGTGGTGGGGAGCTGCCAGAAGCTGCAGGATGGGCCAGGGAGGTGGGTGCAAGAAGCATCATTCACTTACTAATCAGATTAACAACTCCCCTCAGGTTTACTTCTCCCCACAGCCCACATGGGATGGTTGCAGAGAGAGAGTGAACCTGGGGATGAGAGGGAGGGTGAAAGAGGAATCTGGAGGTGCTTGTAAGATATATTCTTCCTCTAGTGCTAGTAGCTGTGGGTGGTGGGTATGACACTGGATTTGGGATTGGGCTCCTATAGGAGATTCTAATTCTCCCTGATCTACCAGGGGAAAATTAGTAAGCCTCTGCAAGCCCTGCTTTTCTTGCCAGTTAAATAGCCATGCTAATAATGTCCACACAGAATTTAAAGCTCAAATAAGAGAAAATAGTGTTCACCCCCAGGCACGGAGCATCTACCATGTGCCAGGTCCCTTATGGGGTGATTCACAGGCATTATCTTATCCAATCACCTCAACAGTCCCCAAAGATAGGTATCACGATTCCCATTCCTCAAGGAGGGGATCAGGGCTCTGAGAGGTGAAGGTGCACGGTCATCTCAGTGCCCCTCTCGGCTTTGCAAACTATGAAGCCCTGGATAGTTGTAATTTGTTATTATGACTCCCTGGTCTTCCCCACTCGTTCCCTGGAGATTTCTTCAAGAGAGTTCTAGAAGAAAGGAAAAAAGAAAGAGTTCTAGAAGACTGCAGAGTTTATTAAACAAATTTATTTAACATATATTTGTTGTGCATATTGCTATGATCTGAATGTTTATAGCTCCCCAAAATTCATATGTTAAAGGTGATGGTATATTAGAAAGTAGGGATTTGGAGAAATGATTAAGTCATAAGAGAGAAGCCCCTCATGCTTGGGACTCATCTTTATAAGACACAGCACAGACTAGGGATTTAGCTCAGTGGTTCTGCCACCTGCCTTGCAAGCACAAGGTCCCAAGTTCGATTCCTGGTACCAAAAAAAAAAAAAAAAAGATACAGCACAGAGCAAGCTCCTTTTCTCACCCTGTGAGGGCATAGCCAGAAGGGCTATCCATAAACCAGGAATAAGGTTCACACCAGTGGTCAAATCTGCTAAGACCTTACTCTTAAGACTTTCAGCCTCCAGAACTATGAGAAGTAAATTTCTGTTGTGTGCCACCCAGTTTAAGGCATGTTGTTATACATAAAAAGACTTGTCTGTTGCAGGATGTTTCTAGCTGCTCAGATTCATCAGTGAACACCACAGAAAAAGTGTTCTCAAAGAAGATATATATTTTGGGGGGTGGTGGTACTGGGGATCGAACTCAGGACCTTGCGCTGGCAAGGCAGGCAGTGGCACCACTGAGCTAAATCCCTGGCCCCAAGAGGATATATTTTTGCATGGGAAGACTGACAGAAGGTGAAGAAGTATACAATATACTAAAACAGAGGGAAGAGGACATGAGATCTTATGTTCAAATGTAAGCGAAGGCTTGCTGGCAGGAGAGAAATTGTGCTCAGTACTTAGATATTATGTCTACAACGATGTAATTTCTCCATCAAGAATGTAAGATCCTGGGACCTTGTTCATCCTGTAACTCCAGCTCCTGGCAGAAGGTCTGTTCCAAGTTGATGTTCAATAAATACTTGTGGAAAGAAGGAACCCAACACCTGTCTCAGATCTGCTGGAGAAACGTCCACTTTGGGATAGGCAAGAGGTTTTGGATTCAGCTCCTATCAGTTGACATGGGGAACTGTCTATCTGCCAGACACTGTGCCAGCTTCCATGGCAGCAGTTCATTCTTTCCCCTAGATGATCTTTATTAGAGACAATGGTGGCACTTAAAATTTAGCTGTCTAGAAGAGAAAGGAGCAAAGAGAAGAGAGGAAGAGCAAGGGGTTAAGTGTGAAGAGGAAGCAATTCAGGGTCAGTAAAGAATTCAGCAAGTGCATTGCCTGACATTTTTTTCTTGGTGCAAAAAAATAGTTCTCCATTTTGGACTGGGGCTCACTGAGTCAGAGGTTCAAAGAGAATAGCATGAGGACAAGAGTGACAAATGTCATCTGCAGCAGATGGTGCAGTGGTTTAGAAGATGCTTTTGTCCACCTCCTCTGGCCTAGGAATTAAGGTCAGGGGCAGGCAACCAAGCTCAGTTCCCCGGGGTCCTGATCCCAGCCTCTGGACCAGGCCAACCCTTCCTGGGAACATCTCCTTTATTCCACCCTTGGATTCCATGCCAGACTCATTCAAGTCTCAGAAGCCAAGGGTGTGAAAAGAAGAATCTTAGCATCTGTTATTAACCATTATTTTTATTCTTTTGGCTGTACTTTCTCCTCAACCCTGAAAATGCTGGGTCAGTGTCTCTTTTAGCACAAATGACTGATTTGCCAGGCCTTTGTTCAGCCTCACAAAAGAAAGGGTGGGTGATTATTAAAAGAACAGATTTTGCATTCCATATTTACCCCAGATGACATTGCATTGGTCCCTAAAATAACTCCAGATCGCCTGGGTGGAACTTGCTTGTCCTTTTTTCATCTGGCTATTTTGCAACTGTTTGTAGAGACCATCACCATAGTGATATTATCAGAGCAGGTCAGAAAGAGACTCCAAACCCTTAGGTTATTACTGGCTTTTCCTTTGTACCTTGGAACATGACTTTTTCACCCCAAACCATTTCTTTCATTTCCTATAAGCACTTAAGTATTTAGCTCCAAAGCTGCCAACATCCTTTTTCAATGGATTCCCTGCAGTTAAACCCACAGAGGTGGTCCATACTGGGAAGACAGATGGACATGCTTGGGTTGGCTTTCCAAATTGGAAACCCTATTTACCAGAAATCCCCTTTCCTTCAGAAAAAACTTGGGTGAAAGTTGCAGGGTGTTGAAAGAGGGACTAAATAAACTAAGGTCTAAAGGACCTTCAGTGTCTAGTCCAACAAACATGGCAATAGAATTCAACAAATAAACACAGCTGGCCGTGGGGTAAGGCTTTAGCAAATACTTATCTTCTTGATTATTTTTTTCATAATGATCTTCTTGGCCAAAAGCCTTTTTTAAAATAGCATTCTCATACACTGCTTGTAGGATTGTGAATTTGTACAATTTTCTAATAGGAAATTTGGCAACAGATGGCAAAAACTTTGACAATGCGCTCTTATTTTGATGCTAAATTCTACTTGTGGGTCCTAAGTAAATAAGTAGGAATATAAGCAGAAGGATTTATACAGAGATGTTTATTGCTAATAATAGTGAAAATTGGAAATAACCTCACTGTAAAACACTAGAGAATTGTTTTTTTATTTTGGTACTGGGGATTGAACTCAGGACCTTGCGCTTTTGAGGCAGGAGCAGTGCCACTGAGCTAAATCCTGAACCTGCTCTTTTTTTTTTTTTTTTTAATCATGATTCCTCCATACAATGGATACTAAACTACTCTTAAAAATTAGGTCTCCCCAGAACTCAGGAGGCTAAGGCAGGAGAACAGCCATGAGTTCCAGGATAGTCTGGGTTACATAGTGAATTCAAGGCCAGCCAAGACATACAGTAAGACTCTGTTTCAAAAAAAAATTATGCCTCATGGAAATCCTTAATAATGTGTAAAATATTCATGAGGTGAGAAAAACGCAGATTACAAAAATTGGTGTGCGCCATCATCCTATCTTTGTAAATCAAATGAGATGTGATTGAAAATTATGGTGAATGTTTAAATTTTTTAAATTATTATAATAAAAGACACATTGTGCCAGGATTTAGCTCAGTGGTGCCGCCACCTGCCTTGTAAGTGCAAGGTCCTGAGCTCGATCCCCTGTACAAAAAAAAAAAAAGACACATTGTTGTTAATCCCCCTCAAAATATTACCCCTCACTTCAACACACTTAATTCCATTGTACTTGCCTCTTTCTGAGGCAGTTCTGGAAGTCTTATTATGTGAGTGTCTTTAGCTGCACTGTCATTGCTACCTCTGTCTTGAATTGATTCAAAATGTTTACCTTTCCTGGCCATTTTGACTTTGGGGAAGAGCAAGAAGTCCCATTGTGCCAGATCCTATGAAGTAGGTGGATGAGGACACACCACATGTGATGTTTTTATGAACCTGTCTTTCTGTTGGATGAAATTGCAGCAGCACTCACCATATTTTTTTTATTGTACCTTGTAAAAAACACAAAAGACAACTTCCAGAACTGCTTCAATGTGGCAAGAACAATGAGATAAGCGAATTTAAAGCAAGAAGTATTCTGAGGCAGATTAATGGCACTGTACCTTTTGCTGTAACACATTTTAAAAATTAAATACACACCAAAAGTTTTGATCAGCCTTAGTTATGTGAACAATAGAAGAAAAATGAGATGTTTATACTCTAAAAAAATGAAGGTTATTTCCTTTGTTTCTATTTATTTGCTTTGCTATTTATTTCCTTTTCTTCTATTTATTTGCTTCTATTTCCTTTGCTTCTATCTATCTATCTATCTATCTATCTATCTGTCATCTATCTATCTTTTCTTTTGCAGTGCTGGGCATTGAACAGAGGGCCTTGAGAATGCCAGATAAGTGTTCTACTACTGAGCACTAGTCCCTTTCTATTACTTTTCTATAATGAGCATGTATTTCTGTAGGTAGGTATTTAAAATGCTGTTTTAAATTTTATTTATTTATTTGAGATAGGGTCTCCCTATGTAGTTCAGGCTGGCCTTGAACTTATTATGTAGTCTAGGCTGGCCTCGAACTCATGACAGTCCTCCTGCCTCTGCCTCCCAAGTGCTGAGATTACAGGCGTGCACCCCCATGCCTGGCAGGTTAATTGCTATTTTTAAAAAGAACAATAATTTTCTTTAAAATTATCTCTCTTATGGTCCTCATGTGCAGAAATAAAATCTTATTCCAGGAGTCTCTTTGCACAAAGATCATAAGATAGAAAGTGCTCAGTGATTTCTTATTGTGGTTGGAAGACAATGAATAACATGGTTCATGAGACCAATAAATATTTAGGAACCACAAATTTTCTGCCCTATGTGGAGTGTAAATTCAAAGATATGCAAAGCTGACATTGATAATCAGGTATAAAATACATGGATGATATTACAAGATTGGTAATGTATTTACAAAGTATCAAGAATCATTTGGTATCAAAAAGGAAGACTGGGGTTCCAAAAGAGTGACCATCCATATAAATGAATAGTGGATGAAAGGCACTAGTTTATTGCCCATTTTATTGAACAACAATGGTAGGTATCTTACATCCTGTGAAGGTTAAGCTTGATTGTATCAACTTGATTGGCTTGGGAGTCATCCAGGGGATTGGTGGAACACCAATCTGGGTGTTAGGTAATGGAAGCATGACCCTGGCTACTATATTTGTTCCCTCAACCCTTCATCAGTGACACTGTTCCCTGCGCTGCTTTCCAAATGCCATAAGCAGCTTTGCTCTGCCATAAGTAGTCTGGCCACATCCGTCCACCATGATATATCTGCCTTAGAACTGAATGGACTGAATGGCTTGAAACCATGAACCAAGTTAAGCCTCTCCTCTTATATTATGTCTCAGTGATGACTAAAACAATCTTTTTTCAGATGAAGAAACTAGGATATAGAAGGAGGTTTGGGTATCTGTTCCTTCACAACTGCAGGGGGTAAGAAGATGCAATTATTCAAGTAAGAGAACCATAGAGCACAACTTATGACTGGAATGGTTGAGTAGGAAGGAAGGAGAGGACGGAGAAGGAAGATTATCTATACATTTATGGCACAGTCCCAAAAGACTTTTCCCAGACTGATAAACACTGATGTTGCAGGCTGGAAAAAATGTAATAATTTTAACTACCCTTCTTTGAATGCTTGGGAATGATGTTGACATAAAAACAAGGATTACAGGGTGTCATTATAGTCAACTTCACTGGTTTGTGGGAAGTGGTGGAATTTCTGTAGTAATATAGAGCAAGATGTGCCCCAGAGAAAATTATACATGACCCTAGAGTCTATCATCATTATGATCACCACTGAAGACATCTAAACACCTCTTTGTTTGCTGTCAAGGTGGAGGAGTTTTAAAACAAACAAACAAACAAACAAACATGGGCTTTGGGATCAGACAGACCTCCATCCAAATTCTGGCTCTCTGCTGAAGCAGCTATGTGATCTTTGTCCAAACTTCAGATACCTGCAGAACCTTCAAGCAATGATGGTGTAGAGCTCCTTCGACTTGTATTCACCAAGGTAATGCTGCTGGAATAAACAACCCCAATTCTTAGTAGCTTACTAAAGTGAAGAAGTATTTCCCCCACCCCAAAACACAGTATGATTGGACGTTTTTGGTGTTCTACCATGGCAGGGCATATAGGCTCCTTCCATCTTGAAGTCCTCCCTAAACTCCTCTGCATTCAGTTGGCCGATGAACAAAGAGATAAGGAACATGTATTGGCTGTGTTTGAAAACAGCACATGTCACTCCCTCCCACAATCCATTGGTCAAAACCCAGTCATATGACTACGAGAGTTACAAGACCTTAAGGGAAGATGGACAATAAAGACTATGTACCTAGAAAGAGGAAATGGAAAAAGTGACATTACAGCTTGTTAGCACCACCATACCTGTATTAGTCACAGCTAGTGAGAGGCAGAGAATGAACAATCATCAAGGTTAAACCCTAAGAGAACTACAGTGGTAGCTGTCTGTGTGCCTGACAGAGAAATCTTAGGCAATCACTTTTCTTAACTGGTATAGGTTTTAAATTGTGCCAGATCTTAGACCACATATGTCCGATCCTGTCTGGCAGTTTGAAGCTGTCAAGAGGCAACAGCACCTATGAAATAGGGTCAATCACCATTAGCATTACTTTGAGCCTCTCTACTGAATCACCTTGACCTCCCATGCCCTTCACTTTTCCCCTTCACATTTTGTTCCCAGTCTGTCTGGCTTCAGATATGCTGATTCATTTTTCCCACTTATGGTCTCACTGCTAGACCAAATATTTATTCTCACTTGTCTTTGACCTCTGTTTTCCTTTTTGACCACAATCTGCAGTCATTCTGACTAAATGACATTGACTGCCTTGCTGAATAGGCTACCAGGTCTGGTCATGGGAGTTAAAAGTTCAACAATGATCCTCTTGTACTATGTGTTCTATTGATTCACTTGAACAGAAAATAAGGCTGATATGTGTTTAGTTGAATTGAAACATATAGTAGAGAGACTATAACTTTCTTTTTAAAAATATGAAGTCCTTTATGTGTTTTTTGTTTTGTTTTTGTTTTTCTATAGTGGGGACCGAACCCAGGGCCTTCAGACTGAACTGCATCCCAAATCCTTTATTTATTTTTCATTTTGAGACAGGCTTTCATTAAGTTGCTAAGTTTCCTGGGCTGGGTTCAAACTTGTGATCCTCCTGCCTCAGTCTTCCAGAGTGCTGGGATGATAAGCTTGTGCCACCAAACTTGGCCCTATGTGTTGAAGTGGTGTTTTACAAGGCTCTGAAATCCTTTTCTTTCAATGGCCTTTGAAGACCAGAAATTTTCTTATTTTATCAAATCCAATTTATTGTCTTTCCCTTTTTAGTTAATGTTTTTCATATCGTAAGAAATCTTTGCCAACTCAATGTCATAAAGATTTTCTCCTGTTTTCTTCTAGAAATGTTATAGTTTTAGCTTTTTATGTTTAGGTCTGTGCTATACTTTGAACTGCATATGTACGTGGTAAGGGCCAAGATTCATCACTCTGTAAATGGATCTCCAGTTGCTCTAGTTCAGTATTCTCCCCCATTGAATTATGATAGCATTTTGGCAAAAATTATATGAATGTATTTACAGTGGGTCTATTCTTTGTGTCTATCCTTACACCAGTGCCCCTCTGTTTTGATCTCTTTAGCTCTATCATAAGTCTTGAAATTAAGTAGCAGGTTCTCTAACTTCTTTCCTCTTTTTTGAGTTTGTTTTAAATATTCTTTAAATTTCCATATACATTTTAGAATCAGTTTGTCAATTTCTGTAACAAAACTTGCTGTGATTTTGATTTTGATTGTAAATTACTTTTGGGACAATGAACATCTTAATAATATTGAATCTTTCAATCCATAAATAGGGTACATCTATTTATTGAGATCTTTAATTTCCCTTGGCAACCTTTCCTGGTTTTCAGATCACACAAGGTTTGCATATCTTTCTTTCAATTAACCCCTAAATATGTCCTATTTTAATGTTATTATAAATGGTATTTAAAATTCTCCAATTACTCAATGATTTTAACTTTTTAAGAGACAAGATCTCTCTATCTTGCCCAGGCTGGTCCCAAACTCTTGGGCTCAAGTGATCTTCCCACCTCAGCCTCATGAGTAGCTGGGTTTATAGTTGCATACCACAACTGGCCTGCTCTGATCTCTTAGTAAAACCTTTCACAGGACTGTTCTCTAAATCCTGCCACTTTATCACTCTTATGCCAGTTCTGCATCTGGTTGAGTTCATTTGGAACGTTGCAATGTCTGACTGCAATGAGGAGTGAGTTTGGGAGAAGCTGTGGATGACTGGGCTTGGAGTTCTGGTTCCCAACTTGAAACATTGCAATGTCTGATTGCAATGAGGAGTGAGTTTGGGAGAAGCTGTGGATGACTGAGGACTGCATCTTGGATGACTGGGCTTGGAGTTCTGGTTCCCAACTTGATGGGCTTCATTCATATTGTACCATATCTCAGACACTATGCTAATGGTTAGTGATAAATCCTTCCCTGCCTCATAGGTAAGCCGATAAGGTACACAAAATACAGGGTTTCCATGGAAACATAGGCCTCAAGCCCAGCTCTGGGGTCCTGTCGGAGAGTGATACTTGGAGCGGCAACGCTGCTTATCCTGAGCCCAAGGGGAGGAGAGTCAGCCTGAGATGCACTGTGGAGTCCAGCCCAAGCCTGGCAGGAGGCTGGCTGGCCAGTGTCATGCTCTGAACATGTATTCTCCCAAATACATAAAATTCCAACAGCCGGCCCGTGTGTAAGAGGCCTTTCTACAGCTCCCATCAAGACCTTCCCAATGGACAGGATACAAACACTCTGATCCAGAAGAAGACAGCTGTGAGTTTTCCCAGGTACCCATTAGAAAAGCAAAAACAAAACCCGAGATGATTGTGTCTAACCTCAGAGAAAAGTATCCTCTTGGCCCTGAAGCTCTGGGCTGTATTAAAAAGAAGTGGATTGCTAGTGGTCTACCTCCCCTTTTTCATACATGTTCTTTCAAGATGCTGATGGGTGGAAAAAATTGATCTAAGCTGTCTAGCCAAGGCTGCCTCAACAAACCACAGTTTTCTGTCTTCAAAGAAAATCAGCACTTTTTTGGGTCGACACTCAGTCCTTCCAATGACTAGAAATTCTTGAGAGTCAAAAGAAGTGTTTCACCCATTTGCATGAGCTTACCCAGAATGCCTGCAGTGACCATCTTGATTTTTTCTTTCCTTTCTTTCTCTTTCTTTTTTAGCATCTCTTTCTCCTTCTTCTGGTGAGTACCCTGGTTTACCCCATTATCAAGGAGACAGTCTTTTACTTTGTTACTGGGTCCTCATGTCTGTCAGCCCCAGGGTTGGGCTCATGACTGAGGCTACTGGTAGCAGAAGCCATGACCATGGTTGAGTGAGACTAGCTAAGGAGGTAGCACAAAGTGACAGATGAGAGAACCTGCTCCCAATCTCTGGGAGCTCCGTCCCTGAGTGGCTGTGTAGAAGGGTATACGTCTGTAGAGAACAGAGAGAAGGGCCACCCTTCTAAGAGAAGGAGCATCTCACCTCTGGTGAGATAAAGGCCAGGAGAGTCCTGTGATGTCATGGAAGCCATGAAGAAAGTGCTTTGAGTACAAAGCAGCTAACAGTGTTCAATGCTATTCTGGAGTCACAGGAGATGAGACTGAAAAGGGCCTCTGTGAGGACCCTGGGAGGTAAGGGTGCCCTTAGAGCTATTTCAATGAGAGAGTGAGAGCAGAGAATGGGAGGTAGGAAGTGGAGGGAGAAAACAAACAACTCTCCAGCTGTGAAAGACTGGAGAGGCAGTGTCTGCTAGAAGAGGTGTGAGAGTCAAGTAATTTTTTCTTTAAAAAAAGGTAAAGGATGGGCCGGGGATTTAGCTCAGTGGTTCTGCCACCTGCCCCGCAAATGGAAGGACCTGAGTTCGATCCCTGGAACCAAAAAAAAAAAAAAAAAAGGTAAAGGCTGACAGTGTAGCTCAGTGGTAGGGCAGTTGGCTAGCTCTCAGGAGGCCCTGGGTTTCATTCCCAGTATCACAAACACACACACAAAGACACAGGGATGTTTAAAACCAGAGTAACCATCTAGTTGAGAGGAGTAGTTGATTTGAGGAGAGACCAGATAATCAAAGTGCAAGGTTCCTGGAGAATAGAATCCTCCAAAGACCATCATTTATAGTATTTTCCAAACTTACTTGATGCACAGTTCCCCTTGGGGCAGTTTATTTTGATTAGTGTTTTCCAGAAAGCACTTGGGCCCAAATTATGTGAAAGGCCTATCCCCAAACCAATTGGTATGGCCAAAGCCAAACTTTGGCTTCAGCCAGCCTGGATCCTTTCCTCTGGACTTGGAGGTGGGAGGATAAACTAAATGTGTGAAAAATGAGGAAGGATTAAATTGTAGAAAAAAGGGGGTATGCATACCTTGTAGATACCCCAGAAGTGACCTCTTAAGTCAGTTTAATGATAGGGAAGACAAGATCACCACAGGGTGTTCCTTCCCTTCTGCTGGAATCTGGCATATTCCAGGGTCCTCCCATAGCTCCAGAGCAATAGCAAAGCACCTAAAACCACTTTAGTAACCTGGGAAGACCCCCAACTCAGGCAGCAGGCCCATACCTGTTAATTGGAGGTGATTGAGGAGTTAAGCAATCCCCAGCCTCCTGGGATAATTGTACATTTATTAACCAACAGTTCCAGCTGCAGGGACTTAATTGAGAAAGAAATTATAGAAACCATGTTGGCCAGCCTTGGGTAATGTCTGCTTTCGTGTGGCCTATGTCAGCAGAAGCATATCTGCATATAGTGGAAGATGGTTTCTCTGAGGCCCTCAACGACCTTGAATGATGCTATTACAGGGCTCAGGGTTCTTTCCCACCGGCCATAGCAGGTACTTAAGGGCACCTGCTATGTGTAGGTTGTCATATAGTATGTTCTGGGAAGTATAACAGCATTGTCTTTTTTTTTTCAGTACCAGGGATCGAACTCAGGACCTTGCGCTTGTGAGGCAGGCTCAGTGCCACTGAGCTAAATCCCTGGCCCAGCAGCACTGCCTTTTGCAGCTACCTATGTCAATTTGGTGGTTCTAAAACCACTTGAGTCAGAAAGACCAAAGGTGAGGATAAATCCATTCACCTATCTGTGTGATCTCATGCAAATCATTTTGTCTACACCTCCATTTCTTCTTCTGTAAAACAGTAATAATAAAAGTCCCTAGCTCAAAGGATTGTTGCAGGAGTCAATGAGATAATATAGAAAAAGTGTTTAGCACATAGTAAGCTCCTTAAAAAGTAGCCATCATTTCATTATCTGTACTTGGTCTGTGCCTTCACACACTAATCCTATCATGTCGATGCTATTAGCTTCATTCACATATCTCCATGGAACGCCTATGTTCTAAATGTTGAAGATGCATAGTGAGTGACCAAAAGATGATTCAGGTACGAGAGAAGGGTCCCAGAACTAAGCCTTCAGAAAAGGAAGAGGAGCCATCCAATATATTCAGAGGAAACAGGAAGACCAGGAGAGGATCATCTTAGGAAAGCCTAGTTTAGTGCAGCAAGGGGGAGAGTGAGCAGTCATAGCAGATCCCAGAGGTCAGAGGTAGACTGAGGCCGCACGTGACCGTGGGTTTCTGCAACACAGAATTACTAGACCAGCCTGAGAAGAGCAAAGTTTACGGGCAAGCAGGGGTAGAAGCCTGACCCCCAAGGAGAAACTGGAGTCTGTGTAGAATCAGGCCCTGGAGAGAGCCCATAGGGTTTTGATGTGAAGGGGAAGATGGCTAGCAGAAAATGAGGGATCAAGCAGTTTGGGTTGTTGGTATTAAAACTTTTATGATACCAGACAGCAGGGCATGTTTTGAAGCAGATGGGAATGATCCAGTATTAAGAAACTGGTGATGAAGGAAGAGAAATCCAGAGTTCAGGTCAGAGAGGAACACAAACCTACACTGTAAAAGTAGGGAAGGCAGAGGATACAGGGAAGGTGCAGAGATGTTGGGACTTGAGAGGGCTCCTGTCTGGTTGAGTCTATTGTGTTTTTCAAGTGAGAGGGAAGGTAATCTGCTTAAAGCAAAGGATGAGAAGAGGACGAAGGAAGTTTGAGGAAGAAGGCTGAAACATCCTCATTTTAGAATGTGAGAGTTGACTATAAAAAAGAAATATGAACTCAGTGTGGTGGTGCATGTCTGTAATCTCAGCACTCTGTGAGGGAGGCTGAGGCAGAAGGATCGTGTGTTCTAGCCCAGCCTGGGCAACTTAGCAAGGCCGTCACAAAATGAAAAAGGACTGCGGATGTAGGCCGATGTGACAGCCCTGGATTCAATCCCTAGCACCACAAAAAAGGTATCTATCTATCTATCTACCTATCTATAGATATATCTATCTATATATATATGGAGAAAGAGAAAGAAGGGAGGAAGAAAAAGAAAGGAAGAAAAGAAAGAAGGAAAGAGAAAGAAAAAAATAAGATTTCTAGGCAGGAGTGAAGGCTTGTTTGAAATCTGTGGACATCAACTTTAAGTGACAGCAGTCTGTCAATTTCCTGGGAACATTCAGACATCGGATGAAAGCAGAGAGTAGGAGAGTAGCTGGGCTTTGTGAGGGTTGGGCAAGTTAGCTACAAAGGGAGGGGCAGAGGCTTTATGGGTGTTTGCAAGGAAGGAAGTGTAGCAATCCTTACTTAAATTGAGTACTTATTGATGAGTACTAAGTGAGCCAAAGGGGAAAGATAACATGAAAATCAGGCAGGGTCAAAGGTTTACAGGTCTGGATGAAGGTGAAGAAATGCTTGTGTGTTGACACTAGTGGGAGGTTAAGATCAGTTCTGAGGTCTTTGGGGTTTTTTTCAGGGATAGTGTGAGATTAGTGTGAAGGGCAAGCCTGTGAGGTCATGGGAGTGAGTATTTGAGGACAGGGCAAGGAAACTCACTTGTAGGGGAAGAAATAAGTGAAAAATCAGGAAGAATTCTTGTAGGTTCTGCTTACAGACGCTGAAGTCATAAAGAAAGGTGTGTGAGGGAGGTGAAGGTCAGTTCATGGCAGCAAACAGAAGTGGCAGGTGGAATAAGATGGCAGTTGGCTTTTTCTTTTAGAAGAGGGGAAGGGAAATGGTACTACAAATATTTATGGTGCCTGCCTGTCTGCCCACAGGCGCGTGCTCATGGCAATAGTTGATGGATTTAGGGGTGGGATTTGATTTATGGACAGCCAATCTGTGGACAGAACAATGATCTGGCCAATGAACTGTCACCAGTTAGATTCAGTCTTGCGAGTCTGAACTAGGCCAGTTAGATTCAGTCTTGGGAGTCTGAACTATAAAACACAAGAATAAGTTGTCAGCGAATAGAAGAAGCTGCTGAAGAGAATAAAAGAGGGACAAAGGTCAACAGGATAGACCTCCATATAAGTTAAAACATTGAGGGAATAAGGTTATAAGCAGGCTGAGGAAGCCAATAAAGTAGCAAAGGCAAAAAGAGAAGCAGAAATGGGGTCCTTATGATAGAGATGGAGTTCATGTCCCTGAATTCTGTGGTGGTTCCTGAGCCCTCTTATTATAACTACTTTCACAGGTTTCTTTTTCAAGCAAAAAAATAAATGTTTATTTAAAGTATTATCCAAAAATTGTGCCAAAAGTTCCTTTTTTATTTCCCCCTTTGTCTCCCTTTTCTTCTTTCTTCTTCCACCTACTCCTCCTCCTCCTCCTTCTTTTTTGCGGCACTGGGGATTGAATCTACGGCCTTTACAATGAGCTATATCCCCAACCCTTTATAATTTTAGACCAGGTCTTGCTAAGTTACTCAGGCTGCGTTCAAACTTGTGATCCTTCTGCTTCATCATCCTGACTGCTGAGAGTACAGGTGTGTACCACCACTCTCGGCCTTTCAAGTTTCTGAGCAGGGAGGCATTGTGATCAGACCTGGGGTTATGACTGAAGACTCTGGTCCCAGATTACCTGATGTGGGCCAATCTACTTAACCCTTTTGTGTCTCAGTTCCTTCGTCTGTAAAATGGGAATGACAGTATTGCTCCCACAGGGTTGTTCTGGGGATTCAATGAGAAACTACAGATAATGCACTTTGAAAAAGGCTTCCTCTGTTTCTTATTTTCTTAGTGTCAATTATTTCAGAAAGCTTTCCTTCATGACTGTATCCTGTGGCTTCTCAGAGGTAAGCACCTTCTCCTGGTCCTCTTCTCTGACCCTGGGCCACTCCTTCTGTCTCCTGGCTTCTCTTAATCTTCTTGATCTCTTCTCTATATTCACCTCCCAGTGAGTTCATCAAGATGTCTTGTGCTTTTAAATAGCTTTAAATGCCATTTTCTAGTTGACGGTTCTCCTGTTTATCTCTGCTCTGACTTCTTCCCCGAATCCAGGCTTTTATATCCAATTATTTACTTTACACCTCCATTTAAGACTCCAATTGGCCTCTCAAACATAACTTGCCCCAAATGGACTCTTATGTTCTCTCTCCCCCCCAAACTCCCTGCTCCTGCTCCAATCTTATCTAGTTCAATAAACAGCAAATTGTTCTAGTGTTGATAAAGTGAAAAATCTTAGCACCATCCTGGACTTCTTCCTGGTTCTTACCTCCTACCACCAACACATCAGCAAACACCTACAATACCATCACTTCTTGCCCCTTCCAATCCTACTGCTCTGGTCTAAAGCACCTTCATCTTTGTGCAGCCAGGTTCCTTACTTTTTTGGGGCCTCTGTTAGAAAAATCAGCATTGTTATTTATATTTGCAGCACTGGGCTTTGTACATGATAGGTAGATACACCATGACAGAGCTGAACCCTCAGCCCAATTTATTTTTTGGTGGTTCTAGGGATCAAACCCAGGACCTAGCATATGCAAAGTGCACACTCTATCACTCAGCTACAGTTGTAAAGTACTTTACAGGAAGCATAATATCAGTGCCTTTTAAATAAAAATGCCTAGACGACAGAAATAGCACTCTAAGGCTCTAGTCCCCCTATAGCCTGTTCAGAACAGAGCTGGTCATGGTCCTTTTAGAGTCTATGTCAGAGCTCATCACAGCTCTGTCTTTAGGCTCCTGAACTGCTTACTTAACCTAGGCTGGCCACACTGGCCTCCTAGCTGTCCATGAACACACAGGAGTCTAGCCCATTTGAGTTCTTTGTCCTTGCTATCCTTTGCTTTTGTCTTTGCTGTCTGTTCTCCACATGGCCTGCTCCCCCTTCTCTTCCACTGTCCGATTGAATGTTACTTCCTAAGTTAGGTCCTCCATGACCACCCATTAAAACATGGTTACACTTTGCTAGCTTGCCTATTGCTCCCTCACTCTGATTTTTCTCCCCATCTCTGGTCACCTGGACACTATCTTTACCTGGTAGCTGATTTTCTCCTGGTGGATGTCCAAGATCCACACAGGGCTGGGGATACAGCTCAGCACTTGCCTAACAGGCACGAGGTCCTGTGTTCAATCCCCAGCACACGCCCCCCCCCCAGTCCAGCTCCATGCCAGCATGGACTGTTTGCTCATGGCTGTTGGCATATGGGTGCAATAAACACTGGCTGAGAACGGACTCCCTAAATCTCCTTCCCTTCTCTGAACTCCTGTAATACTGGTCTATACCATTTTTTTTGCGGGACTTACCTGTGTGGTGTATATAAATGTTTGAGTTCTTATTCAAGTACGAACTCAGTGGCCTAGTAGAGGGGCTAGCTCGTGGAGAGAGCTCCTGTCATTTATAGGTTACCAACACTTCATGAATGACTCGACTTAATTCTAAACACAGACAGAGGGAGGGAAAGAGAGAGAGAATTTCTGAGGCACTGCATGGAGTAAGGAGACAGCTTCGTATTAGGCAAACGGGCTGATTCTCTGCAGCAAAGGTGAAAGTACGCATAACTGCTAGTATTTATTGAGCCCACTTTTTCTAAACGCTTTACCTTTGTCATCCTCACAACTATCCTGGTAGCGACCAAGGCAGGGATCTTTAAGTCACCTGTCATCTTTTCGTGCCTGGTACTCAGCAGGTACTCAATAAAAAAGGTAGCCTGAAGCTCTTGAATTCTGAGGATCAGACCCAGCTCAGGTGGAGTGACGTGCTCCAAGTCCCTCTGGAGAAAGCAGCAGCGCTGGGACTCCAAGTCAGGTTCCGCTCGCTGGGCGCTCTCGGCGCAGGGCCTGCCCGCACTTGGCCGGCTGTAGGCACCAGTTCCGGGTCCGCCGCCGGCGTGAGCTCGTGCACCGGGTGGGGCCGGGAGGGCACCCAAACCTTCCGCATCCCAAACTCAGGGTCTGTGGGGCGTGTGCGCACGCTCCCTCCGCCACTCTAGATTTGCAGCTCTGGGGCGGGGCTCAGAGTTGCAGCGCACTTCGGCCCCCTCGGCCCGGCCCCGCCCCGGGACCCCCAGCCCAAGCCCCGGCCTAAGCCCCGCCCCGCCCCTCAGGCCCGGCCCCGCCCCTCAGGCCCGGCCCCGCTCCCAGTCGGTGCCCCGCCCCGCGCGCCGCGCTCCATACTTGGCGATCGCCGAGGCCCCGAGCGCTCATTGGCCAGGAGCTGGCGGCGTGGGGGGCGGGTCCGGGCCGGCTGGGGCGGGGAAGGAAGGTGGCTGCGGCCCGGCGCGGGGGGGAGGGGGGCGCTGACCCGGATGTTCACTCCTGGGCACCCGGGGAAGTGGAAGAGCTGGGCCCTGCTGCGGGGGGGAGAGCCACAGACGCCGGGACCGGGACCTCCGCCGCCGCCACCATGGTAAAGGCCCTACGGCCCCGGCCCTGGCCCGGCGGCCCCGCCAGAGCTCGCGTCCTTCAGTCTGCGCCGACCCCCGGCCCGAGCAGGGTGGTTCCGCGGTGGGGGAGGGGCGGGGTCCGGGACCCAAGGCAGCCACTGTCCCTCCTCTGGACCGGGCCGCGGGTCTCCAAGGTGGTCGGTGACCCTGCGTCCTCTCCGGCCCCCGCCCCTGTTTCCAGCTGGAGCCCCACTTTCGTCTTCCTCCGTGTGCAGGCTGCTTTCCCCGCAGGCCAGGGCAGACCCTCCTCCCCCGTGGGCCGGGCCAGGCCAGGCACTCCCTCTGCTGACCCAGGTGTGGTCCCTTTGCCTCCGTCCATGGCCAGAGTCTGTCCCCACGGCCCAAGCTAGGCCGTCGTTTCTCCCTGCCATGGCCCAGGCTAGGCCCCTCACCCCCCAGACTCTACTGTTCTCCACCGCCTCAGCCTGGACCCCCGACACTTCCTCCTCCAATGGGAGCTTAGGTTTGTTTCTTCTCCGCGCCATCAATCTTTTCTTCGTTGCATGGACCTGAGTGTGGACCGCTTCTCCCCCGCAGTAGCCCCCGCCTGGGCCTCTCTGCCCCCTTTCCCCCGTGAACCGGTTCCCCGGACTTCTCACCACTTAGCGTAGCTTGCACCAGCCCCACTCCGTCCGTCCCTAGCCCTGGCCTCCCATGAGGGCCCTGCTCCCTCTCCCCGACCTGTCTTCGATCCAGGTGCCCCCTCGTCTGTACCTGGGGCGCGCCTTAGGATCCTGTGGGAGGCAGGGGAGCGCTCCAGTCGGAGTGGATATGACCCGGGTGCTGGGCCTCCTAAGGGTCGAAGGTTGCCCCTTCTGGGGAGGTTGGGAGAGGGCCAGAAGGGGAAAGGCAGGCATCTGTATGCCCGGAAGGCAGCCCAGGGCCTTTCCCTTGGCGCCGTCTTGGTGCCGCCAGCCCGTAGGAGCTCAGGGCGCATCCTTGGGGCGCCTCGGCCTGAGTGGGAGCAGTAGGGTGAGCTAGGCGAGCAGACCAGTCAGAGGTGAACGCATAATCGCGCTTGTGAGGCCGCAGGCCTGTGGGGGCCACCAGGCTCAGAGCCCAGCCTGCGCCCTGCCCTGCCGAGGGAGACCATGCACCGGAGCAGGCGCAGCCTCCCTTTCCATCTGAACTGTCAGCTCGTAAGGGTTGGAACTGCTGATTATGGAGGTGCATCCGATCAGGTGAGAGAAACTCCCAAGACAGAGTAAGCTCCACTCCAAGTTTGTTTTGGTAATGAAGGAGCAGCCTGAATTTTACATAGACCCACACACATGAGCCTGCCCTCCATCCCCTTTGGAACCTTTTGCAGGGCAGACCTGTTGGAACGGCCAGGGACTTCGCCTCACTTGGTCTAGGGACCTTCAATGAATGGACTATAGGGCCATCCACCTGCTGCATCCGGCCCCTGTGGGTGCCTCCTATCCAGTGCAGGCATAAGATTGCCATAGATTTTGGCCCCCAAATGTTTTGGAGGATTCTGGTTCCTTGTTTAATAATGTTGCTGTTGAACTAAGGAGACAAATTCAGACTGGCTGGCTGAGTCTTTTCTTGATGCCTTCCTCTATATTGATTGAAAACATGAGAGATGTCATTTTTGCCCTGTTGCTATTGGCTGAAACTCACTTATGAAGGATGGGCCTTGCCACCAGCCTGAGTGGAGAAGGACTTCTCCAGGACAGTTGTAAAAGTGGACTGAAGTTTTCTAAGCGTGTTCTCTGGGCAGAAGGGGGAGAGGATGGGTGGAGTGGCTTGATGGGGCTGCTCCAATCAGCATATCAGGTAGGGAGGGACCCTTCTCCAGACTGGATGGAAAGTGCTGCTAATGACTCAAGAGGGATACTGGTCGCATGTGGCATCTCAGGAATCTTGTACTTGGCTCTCACTTGGACAATTTGAAAAGACTGGATGGGGATAGAGAAGGGACTACTATCTGCCAGACACTGTACTTTATCTGCCTGAGCTCATTTAACTCACACAAAATCGTCTGGGATATTTGCTATCCCCATTTTACAAGTGAAGAAGCCAAGGCTTAGGTAGGTAGTAATTTACTCAAGGTGTTGCTCAGTCAGTGGAAGAGCCACAGTTGATCAGTGGACTCAAATCTGGTAGGCAACTGTGTTCTTCCCATCATACCAAGCTGCTTATGTATCCGAAGATGTAATGATACTGCTTAGGAAATATAATAATGGGATGTTCAGCCATGGGAAGAGAGGAGCAGTATTTTTGGTCTACTGGGTATGTGCGGGAATTTTTGCATAGGATATACTTTTCAGTAGTGCAACCTTATTACCGGGATGCAGGCTCTTTTAAGGATAGGGGTTTTTGTTTTCTCTGGTAGCTGTTTCCCTGGGGTCTAGAGCAGCACCCAGCACTGAAAGAAATGGTTTGGAGGGCCAGGTGTGGTGGTGCACACCTATAATCCCAGCTACTTGGGAGGCTGAAGCAGGAGGATTTCAAGTTTGAGGACAGCCTAGGCAACATAGCCAGATCCTTATCTCAAAAAAACAAAACCGCTGAGTGCTCTCTTGAGATGTGTCTGTGTGCATGAATTTAGCTACTTGGGTTTCATATTTATCCTCTCAATAACTTGTTCTTAGTGTCCCCTAGGCTCATAAATAGTTTCTGACTGTTTATTGTCAGATTTACTCTTTACTTGAATAATTTGATAAACCAGTGTGCATAGTTGGGACAAGACAGGTTGGGGCTGCATCATAGGCAGATTGGGGCCCGGGATTTATAAAGCTCAGTGGTTTCAGTGGTCCCCAGTTCGATCCCTGGTACCAAAAAAAAAAAAGAATGTGTATCATAGGCAGATTGATTTAGACCACCATGGTTTTTATTTTCAGTAGGCCTGATGGTAGAGAAACAGCTAGATCTTAGTTTACCATTGAAGGAAATAAGGGTTTGCTTTGACTTTGGAGTGAATTCCATGATTTTTGTTGGCACTAGTTTCACTTTCCCATCTAAGAATGCATAGGTAAATGGCGTTTATTTGCATTCCTTTATCAGCTCATAATCTTACCACCCCTATGTGCTTTATGATTTCAAAGCACTTTTCCTAACACAGCTCTGGGTTCTAATTTAGGAATGATTATTCTGAGAGTTACAATTCTGGTGCTTGATGGTGGGGTTGTAGCAGGGAAGGAGCCAGGGTGGGCTCCTCAGGAGTTGTCCTTATAGATCACAGATGGTTTTGCCTAACAGGAGCTGATAGAAGTCCCTCATTTTACAAGGTAAAGCAGTAGAGTTGGTACTAAAGTGTCTTGGTGAATGTCTGGTGTGGATAAGACACAGGTCAGCTCAGACCCCATGTATATATAGTCTTGTTCATTTCAACCCAACTGACCTCTTTTTGGTGAAATACTTGTAAAAAGTAGCCAATGATCAATACTTGGAGATTGAGAGGGTGAATAAGCCTTGCCTTTGAAAGCTGATGTTCTGTTTATAACTCCAGAAGAAGTCCTATACCTTTACATTCCATGGGGAAGGAAAGAGGACAGGTAACCCTCTGCACAGGGAAATGGTGTGGGGATAGGTACCTCACTATTCAAAATCCTGCTCCCCACTAGGCAAGTACAGAGACATGCCAGGGGGTGTCTGAACTTACAGGATAGCATGACTTCGGTATGTATGTGCTAGGTGCTTATTCTGAGCTGCATATGTGCCACAGATACAGAGCAAGACAGACAAGGGTATGTGCCCGCACAGCATCCATTGTTAGGGGATGGGCATGTCACTTTTACCTAAAGTTTAAGGGGAAAGAGCTTTATTTAATGTACCTATATAAGCACATAAGCATGAGCTATAGCATGAGGTTGAAGAGAAAGTTGGGGCTTGTGCCCAACTCCAGGCCTTTTGTGCTCACTCCCAGGCCTTTTGGGGTGTGTCTGCTCTCCCATCTGCCAGTGCAGTGGAAGTGTATTGCAAGTCTGTACCTCCGCACACCTGGAGCACTGTCCCACTGGGAATGCAGCCTCATGGAAGTACAGCCTTTCATCCTGGGTCACTGCCATTGACTGAGGAGCTCCTGTGCCCCAGAAGCAGGACTTGGATTATAGCTCAGCCCCTGTTGTACTTAACAAGGAGCCCGAAGCTTGAGAGGTCCAGTGACAGTGTGACCAGATTTAGATATTCCTGTCTCTTGTGAGGGACTCATTTGCTCAGAAACACTGGGTAGTGGGACCTGAAGTGCAGGATCTTGTCCCATTTCTCTTTGCAGCAGATCCTTCTGGTGAGGGTGAGGTGTAGAAGCCAGATCATGCTATTGCGAGATCACCCTTCTTGGGACCAGAGCAGTGCCATTCCCAGAGCTTGGCTTTTACAGATTAATGTTTCAGTGTTTGGAGATGGAGACTTAACTTTTTTTTTTTTTTTTTTTGTGGTCCCGAGGATTGAACCTAGGGCCTTGTGCATGGAAGGAAGCCCTCTACCACTGAGCTACGTCCTCAGCCTTTTTCATTTTTATTTTGACAGAGTCTAGCTAAGTTGCCTAGGCTTGCCTCATGTTTGCAGTCCTGCCTCAGCCTCCCCAAGTAACTGAGATTACAGGTGTGTACCACTGTACCTAGCTGAGACTTAACATTTATGAGTCACTGGCCCTGTGCCATAGTCTACTAGAAGCTTTAGCTCAGCGAGTTGTCCTTGCAACAACCCAGTGAGCAAGGTGCCAGGTTAGGCAAGAGGCAGCATAGTACAGTGATGGAGATCCTTTTAGAGACTGAGTGCCCAAACTGCCACACAGAACTCATTTATCATGAAGTGACAACATTGCAATTAAACCCTAATATAGAGGTTTTAGTTTAGAAAAAACAACTCCTATACTTTGGCTCATGTGTGACAGAGAGGGTTCTGTGTACCTGCTGCAGCATCTGTACCATAGGTTCACCACCACAGGTATGAGAAGGTAGAAGCATACTACCTGAGGATAATGATAGTACCTCCTCATAAGAAGGGTTAAATGAGATATCATGAAATAATACTGTCAAGTGCTTCAGATATTATTGAACACATAATTGTATAAACATTAACCATTATTGCCACTGTTTTATAGATAAGGTACAAAGAGGCATATGTTTAGTCCTTGTGTAGCTAATGGAGGAATTGTGTTTCCTGACTCCAGAAGCGTCTCCAGAGCCCCTTCTCCCTACTTCTTATTGGCTGTTGATGGCTGCTTTAAAGTGTGCTTGGCTTTGGGCTGTGCTTTGACTGGAGATCTTCGCTGATCGAGGCTGAGACCCTTCATCTGTGATGATGGGCCCCTTGTGAGGTGGGCTCTTCTCAGCCTGGCTGCCTTCTCAGGGCTACTGGACCCTGCTTTGAGCAGAGAGTCCTTGTGTTCTTCCAGGTTTGGGAGAAGGGGCAGGACTGGGGAAAGTCCACGAGCTCTGCTGGAGTGTGGGCCTCATGCACTGCACCTTGTGCTGGCCTTCTGGCACTCAGTACTTTAGAAACACTCAGTGAATGAGTGGTGAGAGCTGGGAGGTAGCTTTGCAGTGGGGCACATTTGGCTTGAGTCCTGTTTACTGCTCAGTGTGTGGCCTGAGTATCCCATCTCCCTTAATCTCAGCCCTTGATCTGCAGGGTGAGGAGAGCATTTTATAGGGATCTGAGGAAAAAGAAATGAAGTTTTTAATGTACTTAATCTGGTGCCTGGCACATAGTAAGTGGTAGCTGTGGTTATTGTTTGTCTTATTCTGAACATCACACGGCAAGGAACACATGTAGAAGCCATAATTCAGAGTCTAATGCAGGAGGATAGGCAAGATGCATCTAAAACTTTTAAGTGCAGCAGGAAGAAGGAAGTATCACTGGAAAAGACTTTCTTTTTTTGTTGTTGTTATCTTTTGAGACAACTTGCTGTGTGGTCCAGGCTGACCTTGAACTCACTCTGTAACGAAGGCTGGCCTCAAACCCGAAGGAATCCTCCTGCCTCAGCCTCCTGAGTGCTGGGAAACTGAGGCACCACCACACCTGGCTTAGAAAAGACTTAGGAAGGACCATGTGTATGGAGGTGTGATTTGTGTTCCATCTCCTACAGCAAACACATACTTCAGGCCACAGCCAGCTTGGGAAGACTGCCCAGGCAAAGAGGGCAGGGTGGGGCACAGTCAGAGTGAATCTACTCCACCAATGCCAAGGTCAGGTGTCTGAGCAGCCTTGTGAGCTTGAGAACCATGGAGTG